CCATCACCGATGATTAATATTCATAAAGCCATTAATTTTGATATCATATATGCATAAATACTACAAAAAATAATAAAAAAAATCTCAATTTCACACAATTCATTACATATCAAATAAAGGAAAAAAGACAAAAGAGAGAAAAAGAAAAAAAGGAGAAACAGTTACGTACTCCATTCGGGTGGCGTATCTGAATTTTTATAAGATTCCGTACTTGCACAGTTTCCACAACTGAGATACCATCGAGATATAATGTCTATCAAATTACAAAAATATTGAGTTTAATATTTTTTACAATATTGAGTTTAATAATATTTTTAAACATTAGAAAGATACATGTGAATAAATATACTTACTGCTTCAGTTGGATAAATAATTTTTAATAAATCTCTAATATACGCCAAATAATCAAATTTCTGCGATGTCTTTTCACTTGCTATTTCTTCTCACGTTGTTTTTTACGTGACTATTTTTTTCTTGGACATTTCTTTTTTGTACTTTTTAAGTGACTTTCGTACTGACTTTTGTACTTTTTTTAAGTGACTTTCTACCTCAACCTGGTGAGTTTTTTTTTAATTTTTTCTTTTTTATTTTTTACTCGGCGGCGGTGGCGGCGGGTGCGGCAGTGACAGGCGCGGCGGTGGCGGGCGCGGCGGTGGCGGCCCCCCCCTCCCCTCCCCCCTCTGACGTCATGTCCACGCGTCCAATTTTTTATATCATCTTCGTTATTTATCTTTTCATAATTATTTATCACGGTGCTGAAGGCATCAATCGTCGATTCAATCGCACGCTGTTTACGTTCAATGGCACTGGGTCGCCCAACACGCGCCGTCCCCCCCCTCCCCCCCTCCCCCGAAGCTCCTCGATTGCTCACAGTTCCCCCCGCACACCCGCACCCCTCTCAACGCTTCTGAGTTAGAACCCGCCTTATATTCCTACTTCGGTCATTTTGACTACGGACGCGGCGGCTGATATGTCGAAAGATTTCGCCGCGCTGGCCGCGTTTTCCGCTTTTACCAGCTCTCGTAATCGCTGGCGCAAAATTTCTACTGTCCCTTCGGTTTCGGCGTGACAGTGCGTAAGTTCGATAACTAGCTCTTCTTTTTTAAGACGGTGCACCCAGTCAGTCGTCGGCATTTTCCTGGATATTTTATTTCTCTGTCACGGTCCCTGTTCGGGCGCCATAAAACGTCTCTATCTCCGCGTTGATCGGATTTTGCAGGATAGCGTCGGTCGGATATGGTCAGGATTCGGTAAGAGAAATAAAATATCGTGAGCCTCTTTAGTTTATATATATCTAGATTTATATTTACAATGCCGACTGACTGTGGTTTTTGTATGTACAATATTTACAAGTACCTTTCGGTATTTCGCCGTTGGTACGGCGAAAAGACGCGCGGTTTCTAAGTATTATATAATCGCTCGGCTCGCGGTCGGTTCTCCGAATTCGGCGCGTTCCTCGATAGGCGCGGCGCGGGCGCGACGGTGCGCGGGGAGTTCGGCCGTCTTGTTGTGACGGATCAGCTGTGTGTAGTGCTGTAGTGATGCTTCGAATGCAGGAAGCTTCCTGCTTCTTGATCATCAGAAGATGTGCACAAGGGCTTACTTTTTGGAGTCCAGATTGAGAAGCTCCTCAACCTGTGAATAACTTGTGCGCTGGTGGATTAAAGGAGCGATCGGCCAGAAGCTCCTGGCACGATAAGTAGCACCCTAGATCGCTTTTTGGAGATGACTGGGAATATCGAGAGCAGTACTGGAGTGGTTACTGTCTTGCCGGAGATAGGTCTCGATTATCTCTCGGAATCGCCTAATATACCCGAGCCGGCCATCGGTCGGGAGTCGTCGGGTACGGGTCGGCCGAACTCGGGTCGGGGTAGTTCCGGGGGATGCCTTTGTCGGAATCCTCGCGATAATTCGCCGAACGCGCTCGGGAATTCCGCGAAGATGTTCGGTGGCGCGGTCGGTAGCGGGGCCGGCGACGGTGGCCTTACCGTGTGCGTGTTTGTCCACGCAGCGCGCACGTGAAGCCGTGTGATCTCCGGTTTGCCGCGTCCGTTGTTCGACGGGCTTTTCACGATGGTGAGATCGCGGAAAGATCGCCGTGTCGGCGCCCCGACGGTTGATCGGTCGGGGACGCTTTAACATTATTAATAATTGAGGGGGGTGAGTCGGGTGTCGTTATATCCATAATATTAACATTAACATAATATTAACATTGTATATTACATCTAAAATAACTAAAAAAACATAAATAAATATATGAAATAAATTTTAATAGATAATTAATTTATTCAGTTTCGCAATTATTTTACACTACTCAATAAAAATTTCATATAAAAGTATATAAATATAATAAACGTATAGTTAAATACGAAATACATTCATATATGTTCATGTTAATTTTTTTCTTTTGTAAGATTTCAATTTAGTTTAAGAAAAGTAATAGTAATAATGAAAATACAAGAAAAATGATTGAAAAGATTTTCGCATAGTTTCTTGTATCAAAAGTTAAGTTTAAAGAAATGAAAAAAGAGAATGAAAAAAGTTTATATATAATTGCGCGCGCGCGTGTGTGTGTCTTTAATCATTAATACAAAGATATATATATATATATATATATATATATACATATATTGCGACCATTGCCCTGTATTCGTCGATCGCCGGTCTCATGAGGAGCGACCGCGCGATCCAAATCCGCCGCGCGTCCGCGCCTCTTGGCCGTCGCAAATAATCGGCACTCAATAGCGACTAGACTATGACTCGTTAACCAATCGTCTACGATACGGTCGGGCGCCAGGCACACGGCACATGCCACGAGAGTTCGAAATTCTGATGATTTGCGGGTCGAGATGCGGCATGCGGCGACAGATTATACGGCTGCTCAGAAGGGACTAGGAAGAGAGGGTAGTTCGGCAGTCAGGGCGCTATTCGGGGGAGAGACATAGAGGTCAATAAATAATTAACGTCAGTAATTACTAATCAACAACAAGTCTATTCGCGAACTTTCCAACGCGACTTCGAAGTAATTTACAATCCGGGTGTGATCTCGCCGATCACGCTGGAAACAGCTGACTCAAAGAACGTGCGACGTATACAAAGATAATCGGCAATGATGAGAAATTTCGCTTCACAACATCCGTGGCAATTCGACGTCGACTTCCCATACCAAATTCGCTACAAGGAGTTTCGCTACACTCGAGATTTTAGGCGAGACTAGTAGCAAAAGATAAAGCAATGAGCATGCAATTAGTTGAATAACGCAAATAAACGATACTACGTGCGCAGCAATCCACAAATTATAACGCGCGCAAGCGAAAGTATGCGGCAGGCTAAGCTCGTGACCGAAAACAGGATAGCGCAACATACAACAATAGTAAGTAACACAGCAATAACGAAACCGCATTAACAACTTGAATTCACGCGACACTACACTGAGATTATTCGCCGCTATGTAAATGCGACGCAATTCCACAGCGCCATACAATAATTAACAGCCGCCGAAACGGCACAAAACGACAATGCGTAGATCAATTATAAAACGGCAAAAGAAAGACATTAAGGAGCCTACCTAGAGCTCTAAAAATATATGCTTTTTAAGGATTTTCTTTGTTTAAATCAATAAAGTTTTATTAATACAAATTACGATGTTATTAAATATACACTTTAGATATATTATACAAATTTTTTTATTAAAAAATAATAAATAATAAATGAAATATATGCCATGCCGTAGACATCCTTTTTGTTGGAGACACTTTACAGTGATCACTGTAACTTGAAGCAGGATCATCTGAAATAAAAAATTCAAAAAGTTTTCGATTATATAATATATTAAATTATCTAAAATCCTACGAGACAGATTTTTGAAAAATTAATTTAAAACAAAATGGCAGCAATGCAAAGTTGAGACATCAAATTTCGGCAAAAAAAATTGCTTTTTTTTGTATATATATATATATATATATTAATAAAAAAATAAAAAATAAAAAAGGTACTGATTTAGTATTTTATCTCTTAAATAAGTCTGTAAATTTAAGTTAAATTGTATTCTATTGGTTTTT